AAACCCTGTCTCAAAAAAACAAAAAAAAAAAAAACAAAGTAAAATGGAAGATGCTTGTTTATCTAAGGAACCTGTATGTGTGCCAGGGGACTAAGTAGTTGCCAGGGCCTGGGGGACAGTGGGAACATAGCAGGAGAGTGGGAAATGCAGGTCATGAGGGCCTGGGGTCCTGGATGGAGTTGGCTTCCACAATGCCACCTGAATCCCATGCTTGATACAGGAGAATAAAATGCAACTCTGCTGACAGTCATGGGGGCACAGTACAAGGGACATGGTAGAAATCCCTTCCCTCTGGCATCGCAGCCGTTGTTCTGGGGCTCGAAGGAGAGATACACAGAGCTGGGGGATCCAGGAGGCTCCCAAAGGATAGCACAGGTGCTGTTGCCCAGGAAATGCAGCTTCCTGTCTGACCTCCCAAAAATCATGTCCCTGGCACATGACACAACAGGAGACACGCCCAGTCGTGTCCCCTCTAGCCTTGTATTCCCAGATCTTCTCTACCTCTGGCCTTGCACCTGCTGCTGGCTCTTCCAGAACACCCTTCTTTGCCTGTGTGGCTCCTGCTTGTTCTTTAAGGTTTCAGTCCAGAGCCCTCTATTCTCTGGGGAGCTTTCTCTGACTTTACTGCAGGTCTCCACTGAGGCGAGGACTGGTCTCTCCTCTCAGCTTACTTTACTTCCCCTGCCCTGTGAGCACTTCACGCCCAGCAGTTTACCCTCTTAGGTGGCTCTTACGATCCCAGTAGCAGAGCAGCATCTCTGGAGATCTTACGATCTCCAGAAGCAGGCTCACTTCAGTGCCTGGGATAATGTTTCTCTCTCCCTGTCTCGGGATGTGCTTGGGACTCTGTGCACCTGAGACACGTACATGATTAACACGTGTGACTGTGTGTCTTTGTATTGGATAAGGATCTGGAGCTGCCCATCAGCTGCCCCTTCTTTGAGAGGTTGAACCCCAAGCAGCTGTTCTAGTTTACACTTTAGCCTCCCATGGGACCCTTGTGCCCAGCCAAGGCCCCGTAGAAGGGAGATGCTCAGGGAAGGTGTGTTGAGTAGCTGGCAGATGTGTAAGTGTACACCACCTGAGTCTAGATATGACAGTCACATCTGTAGTCCCCCTGCCCAGTTGGGTCTTCCTCCTGTTCTCGGGTTGCCTGGGACAGCACCCAGGAAGTCAGAATGGTGGTCTGCATCTCTCAAAGATGGGAGCATTGTGTCTCATACCCAAAGTCCTGGGCACTACAAGTGGCTCCATGTGGAGCCCAGTTTTGAGCCCCAAAGCAGCCACCAACCAACACGTGTGAGCTTGAATGTCATTGTCCTCTCCAAGCCTTCTTTTCTCCCCTTGGGGTGCTGAGACCAAGCAGGGGAATCTTCTGCAAAACTCATCAAGGCACAGAATGTAGAACTAGGGGGTGTGGCTCAGGTGCAATAGTGCCAGCCTAAAAATGCAAAGAGCCCACATAAATCCGGGCATGGTGGTGCACAACCATAAACCCAACACTTGCAAGATTGAAGTAGGAAGATCAAAGTCAGTCATTCTCTGCTACAAAGCAAGTTCAAAACTAGCCTGGGCTACATGAGATTCTGTCTCAAAACAAACAACAAAAAGGCTCAGGGCAGAGCCAGGTACAGAAGTGACGAAACTCAGTGATGGTCTCCATCCTGCAGTTTTCAAGAACTTAGTCTAGTCCTTAGAGTCTGTGCACTCAACAAATATGTGTTAGTCAGCTCTTGCTGATATAATGCTACAAAACAAGCAATCCCACAAACACCATGACACACAACAAGGTAGCTATTTTCTTCCTCATAGATTTGCATCTGTGAGTTAAATGGCCCTTATTCAGCTTAGAGTTGGGTCAAGGTCTCCACACATTACTTGTTCTAGAACCAGCTGCAATTCCCTGGTTCTGGAACCTGGTTCAAGACCCTCTTCTGGCAGACAGTGGAAGCATAAAAGCCTAGCCACAGCACCAGACACATATGGAGTCTGCACCATGCCCATTCTCATGCACAGTAGAGTGTTCCAGTGGCCAAAGCAGGTCACATGTCCAGATCCAAGACAGAAAGACACTATACCTGATTCCATGGGAAGCATTCTTGAGCCACTCGGCACAGGCATGATTGGGTAAACCTGGCACCAGAGAGGGCCTGCCCCAAGGAGCTGCAGAAGGTGGCAGGCTCCTGCTCTCTTTAACGCTCTTCTCTGTTCCCCAGCAGGAGCTCAGTGAGTACAACGCCACAGCCATAAAAAGCCCCACCAACACGGTCACAGTGCAGGGCCTCAAAGCCGGCGCCATCTATGTCTTCCAGGTGCGGGCACGCACCGTTGCAGGCTATGGGCGCTACAGTGGCAAGATGTACTTCCAAACCATGACAGAAGGTAAGTGGAGAGCGCCAAGCACCAGCCCCATCAACTAATGAGCAAATGCACAAATGTGGGGCTCCATTCCTAGAAAGCCTGTGCCAGCCAGAAAACAGGCCACCTCCCTCTCTCCCAGATGTGAACCTCTGTGCACGATACAAACTGCACAGCTAGCCATAAAGCCTCCAGTTCTGTGGGCCACAAAGGCCCCTTCTTCTCTATTACCACCCAATCAGTGAGACTGCGTCCTCTTCTGGGATACTTAGGTCAGACCTAACATGCAAATCCATACTAATCAAATCCTTTTCTTTCCCTGCTCTAGATTTTTAATCTATAAAACAAAAAAAGCACTATGCTTAATTGAAATAGTAAACATTATATCCATTTACAACTCCAGCAAGTTGCAATGAGGTTGAGAATTCTGAAATCCCTTCTAAGCTCAGCAGAAAGAGGTGCTGGGATAGATTAGTAATGTCTGCCCTGGACAAAGGAATGGGCCCATGTGCTATGTTTTCCAACCTTGGATTATACGGTTTCTGGGTACCTTTTCTACTTTAATAATCTTGAATAACAGTAGGTTATAAAGAGGTGTGACTTCCAAAGCAAGACAGATGGGAGCCCACTTCTGGCTTGGCCCTAACTGTGTAACCTTAACCTCTCTGGCCCTGTCTTTTTGTCCATAAAAGAGATGATAATTATGTTATCATCATCATCAACAGCATCAAACATATATAAGTCTTAGGACCCTAGCTCAGAATTGGTTTGAGGGCCATATATTTAGAATAGTATCCTTTCCATGGGCCTGTCACCACCAATCAAGTTCTGGAACACATTCTTATGGCTAGACTTAGTGTCACTTCTTAGCCTCTGGCCTTGGAGCATGGACATCAGCTCTCATCTGGCTAAACCTTTCAGAGGTTTTTGGATGACCCTAAATTCCTGTCCCATTGTAGAAGCCTTCCCTGAATGTTCACCTGTCTTCCAACACTTGCCTCCTCTGCCCTCTGCCCTCTGCCCTCTGCCCTCTGCCCTCTGCCTTATCCTCTTCAGCAGCTCCTCTTGCCTTTCTCTGCACCCCTCCATGTCAGATGAGTTCACTGACCAGGGACTGGGCACCATCCCAAGTCCTCTTTATTAACTCAACAATTCTGTGCCAGGGCCCTGCTGTATGCCAGGCCATGTGCAGGCACTAAGAACCCAAAATGACCTCACCCCTTGACCTTGACAAGCTCCTCTTCTTAATAATAACATGGAGGAGGGTGCTGGGGTAGCTGGCACCAGCCCAGCCAAAGCCAAGTGCATCTGTGTGCTGTCATTCACATCCCAGCCTCAGGGCAGGCAGATGAGCTGCATGCTGGCTTTGACCTCTTCTTTCCTGGGATAGCCTCAGGCCCATTCTGACCTCTGAAAGCTTGGTTTCCTCAAGCATGAGAGGCCACTGCAGGAGGCTATCACAAGACTGCTCTGGAAGTCTCTGTGACACTGCAAGCGGTAGCAATGGGAGTCCCAGCTGGCTGAGTGTTCTCTGTGAACCAGGTATTGTCAGAGACTCACCCACAATCCTGTGGGATGAGAACTGCCAGTCTCCCCATCTTGGAGGTATTACTTGCCCAGCGTGATCAGGATTCTGATCCAGGGAGCCGGGCACCAGCCATTCTTCCTTATCATATGGTAATGCCAGGGTCCCTGTGCCCACTTTATAGCTGAAAAAGTGAGGATTGAAGCCAGTCATTGGCTCCTTCTCACATCTCATTCCCTGCTCAGCATGAGGCAGTTGCTGGATGAGAAGCAAGAGGGGAATCTAGGCTAGGGGTCACCTCAGAGACCATCGTGGTGGAGGATGGAGGCAGGGTCAGGCTCCCAAACCAGGCTAGATAACCACTGCCCTGTCTCTACAGCCGAGTACCAGACCAGCATCAAGGAAAAGCTGCCTCTCATCGTTGGCTCCTCCGCTGCTGGCTTAGTCTTCCTCATCGCCGTGGTCGTCATTGCCATCGTATGTACCAGGTGGGTGGCGGCGTCTGGGCCTGGTCTTCAGCCATAGTTGGGAGCAGGTGGGAACTTTCTCTCAGCCACTGGTGGCAGGGAGGGGCTCCAGCAGGGCAGGCTACCTTAGGTGACCATCGACCATCCTTCCGATAGAGTCGGGTGCTGTGTAAACACGCATATGGACAGGGTTGCACACTGAGGCACTGAGGCAGTGAGGAACATTCCAGAACAGTGGGCAGGATGATGGCAGGATGCTAGGAGCTGTGAGGATGGTGAAGTAAGATATCATTCACTACCCCAGGCAGACGCTGAAGTACTGAAGAGATGGGAAGAGCTTC